CGGCTGAATGAGGCGCCTGCGGCCACTCTCCGGTGGACCTCCTGCCTGCCTGACGGTTCTCTCTCTGGTTCTCTCCTGCTGCCTCTTGCTCTCGGGGGACTTGGAAGTGTGGCTATCCAGCTGGACTGAGTCTCCTAAGAAGGACGTGACAGGTACTGCCGGTGTGCATGTGAGTGCATGTGTGTGAACATGTGTGTCCCAGGCACGCATGCGTGGAAGCCGGTGTCCACGGGCTGCTCTCCGCATGCTTTCCCGTGCTGTAGCAGCCTTGTGCCGGCTTGCCGGGAGACCTGCACTCACAGTGCCCTCTGCCTTTCAGGAAAACCATGTTTTAGCTCTCAGGTCCAGTGTCGGAGTGCTCTGAAGAGTAGCAACCGTGTAGCACAGTCTGTAAGCAAGCACTCCCTGGGCCCCGAGACTGTGGGTTGGAATCCCAGCTCTGCCACGTCCAAGCTGTGCCTCCTTGGGTGGGTTGCGTAACTCCCCTAGGGGACAGAAGGCTACCTCTCGGGGAGCCTGGCCATAGAAGGCGCCCAGGCCACGGGGCTCCCATCCTCTTCAGGTTACCACAGTGGGCCAGCCCCATGAGACGGGCCAGTCCTGTGACCCAGCTCACCTCAGGCAGCTAGACTGAGGCACTATGCTGAGGTCCCTGACTCCTACCCGACCCTTCTTCCCAGTGATCTCACTGGGGGGCTGGAGCTGTGGGGTAGGAGGCGGAGCAGCCCTGTGATGGTGACTGGGGCCAGGTCCCAGCCCCATGCCCCGGTGAGCCAGAGCTTAGAGCTGCTGCTGGCCTCGGCGGGCTTCCCAGGCGTTAGCCTGCCTGGACACAGGCCTTGGCCATGCCCAGGGAGAGCTAGGCCAGGGGTCAGGGACTTGCCGTTAGCCTTTGGTCTTACTGCACAATGGCAGAGAAAAACACAGAGCAGGGTTCTCAGCTCCCAGACGTAGACAGGGAGGAGGAGATTTCCAGAAGGGTCTTCTGTGGGGTCCCCCATGTCAGAGAGTGGTACCCTCTTCACTCTCCAAGCTTCCAACCTGTGAGCGGAGATAAAGGCTCAGGAGTGGGGGAGCAAAGCCGCAGGGTCGGGGCTAGAGGGGGTGCTGGCTGTGGGCAGGGAGTGGAGGTGGGTATCCTGGGAGGGGGGCCCTCCCTTCCCTGTGATTGTCCTGCTAGTGTTCCCTGAGACGGGGGCCTGGGCCTGAGCTAATCGCTGGGCTGCTGTCCCTTTTTCCCCTGTCCATAAGCCAGTGAGCTGGAGCCCACTTGGCTCACAGCAATACATTTTATTCACTGAACGTATAGCCGAGAGGCCAGCGGGCCCAGTCCGGCCTGGGAGGAGCCCGTGAGAGGGGCTGGCGTGACCTTGGTGGGATGCTCACGGGCTGAGCGCACGGCAGAGTAGTCATGGGGAGCCTGCAGTGGAGGCCGCCTCAGGGCCTCTCAGGATGAGCCTGGCTGCTAGAAGGGGGAGACCCAGGGGAGGTGGTATAGGCCCAGAGGGAAAACCCAGCCGGCATGGGAGTTCGGGCTCCTAGTCCAAGTCTCTCTGGGCCCTGGTTCCCCCACCTGGAATGTCAGAGTTCTGTGGAACAGGAATTGCAGAGGTAAGGGGCTAACGCCACCGGAGATCCTTGCCGATAAAAGCCCTCGGGCTGCATAGCCTGGCATCCACCCATAGAGAGCCTGGGGGCTTGATCTGGCTTGATCTGGCTGCTCCGGCTGGCAAGTATGACTGCCTGCCTGGAGGTGGGGTCCGGGAGAGGCATCTGCAGGAACGCTGCCCAGGCTTCCCCTCCCACCCTTCCCCTGGTGCCTGTGGCCCTCGCCCTCAGTCGCCTGCTGATTCGGAAGCTGCAGAGGAGCCAAAACCTCCAGCTCCTCTGCAAACCAACCCCCTCACTGCTTGTAAGCAACTGCCTAGAGTACATAGGCTCAATCGCATCTCCTCATTCCTTGCTCAGAACAAACTCCCCCCCTCCCCCCCCCCAGGTAAGGACTCTTCCTGTTTACAGACCAGGCAGCTAAAGCTCAGAGAGCTGAATATTCTCCCCAGGGTCACAGAGCTAGGAAGGACAAAGCAGGACTGGGCCTCAGACACTCAGTGTCTGAGTCTAAGCTGTTCCATCATGAATCTCAAGTAGTTACGTGTTCAGTGTCATGTCCACGGCACCAGTCCTGGGGTGGCAGCTCTCATCAGGGACACCTTGTCTGATTGTGCAATGCCCAAGAGAACACTCAGGAGAGGACAGAAGAGAGCACCATAGCCAGAGTGGCCGGGGAAGGGCCTGGAGGGCGGAGATGCCAGAATTGGGGTTGGTTGAGAAGGGGAGGCATTGCAGGCAGGGGGCAGTGGCTGAAGCAAAGGCGTGGAAAGTACGAATCTGCGTAGAACAGCGTCACTGGGGTATATAGTGGGTGCCAAATCATGAATGTTGCATGAACAGTGGGAGAAGGGGGGTGTCATGGAACTTGGGGAGTACAGGTTGGCAAAAAAGACTGGGCTTAATTTATCTTTATTCTGTAGGCAGCAGGGAGCCATTGAAGGTGTTGGAGCGAGGAACTGACTTGCCAAAAGCCTAGTTTAGGAGTTTAAGTTGGCAGCCAGAATGAGGGAAGAGAGGGTTCCACCCAGGTGGGGGAGTACAGGTGAGGCTGGGCGGGGTGGAGTGCAGGGTCCCAGCAGGTCTAGCCAGGGTCTCTGTAGTACAAAGGACAGACTCACTCCTGGGCAAGACTCACACGAGCCCCTTCCGTCCAACCCAGGAGAGGCTCCATTCTAGGAGGGGCACACCCCTTCTCCCTGTTTCTGCCAGACCCTTCTCATCTGAAGACAGAGGCTCCCTGCACCGGCCCCGCCCTCCTGGCAGACTCCTCCAGCCCCCAATTTTCCAGGCCTTGGCTGGGAGGGGATCCAGCCCAGCCTCTGTGGGATGACGTCACCGCCCACCGGGGCCTGGCCTGCAGAGCGGTTTCTCATCTGGATACCTGCTCCCGCAGGCCTAGGCGGGCAACTCCCTAAGAGGCAGATGCCAGAGGGGACGAGCTGGAGGCCGCATATGCTAGGGGCGAGTCGGGCAGGCAGAGGGCCAGAGCCTTTGTCTGTTCATCCATCCCACAGCTTTCGGAGCAGGCTGTCCGTGCCCTGTGCTGCCTGCAGGACACGTTCTTAACTCTTCTCCGGGTGTTGCCCGCGTCAACCCTCGGAAAGCTCAGGCCAGTTTTCCAAGAAAGCTGTGGGGGGAGACGCCATGGGGCTGTGGATTCTCCCGGCTTTGAAACCTTGCCTCAGATTTTCTTGGCTCGGATTAAAGTGAGCTGATGTGTCTCCACTCCCCAGCACGCCTCCTCGTCCTTGCTGGCATTGCTTGGCCCCACACAGAGCTCCTCGCTGTTCTTTGTCTCTGTCCCCTGGTGCCCCTTTCTCCCTTTGAGTTCAGGTGTCCAGTTTTGTCACGTGTCAGAGGCGAGGCCTGCTGGGGAGTCCCTGACTCAGCAAACCCGCACAGCACTCTGTTCCAGCCCACCAGTTCATTCATTTGAGCCACTTGCTTGACAAACGTTTATTTCTTTTTTCGAGAGGTTTTTTGTTTTTTGTTTTTTTTTGTTTTTTTTTTTTGCTATAGGGCGCGTGTGCTCGCCAGTCAGACAGAGAGAGACAGAAAGCAGGAAATCACCCCCCAGGGGGGATGGTCACGCCATTCTCCTCTCGGGATCTTAGACACACACGCACATGCGCCTGGTGTGAGTTTAAGTCACCAGGTTTGGGACTTGAACCACGGTTGACTACGTGGGAGTCCAGTGACATAGCCATCGTGCTAACTGCTGGTCCCGACAAACATTTATTGAGTACCTAGTACCTGATGGACCTGTGGCCCATTAGGAGGTTGTAAAAGTCAGGAAGACCATGTTCCCATTTTTACTTTTTGGAGAGGTTTTTGCTATAGGGCACGTGCATTTGCCAGAAAGACAGAGAGGGACAGAGGGACAGAAAGCGAGAAATCACCCCCCAGGGGGGGGATGGCCATGCCGCAATCCCTTCTCCTCCATTCTCCTCTCGAGATCTTGGGCACACATGCACACGCGCCCGGCATGAGTTTAAGCCACCGGGTCCAGGACTTGAACCTGGTTTTTTGTTTTTTGGTTTTTTTTGTTTTTTTTTTTTGCTATAGGGCGCGTGTGCTCGCCAGTCAGACAGAGAGAGACAGAAAGCAGGAAATCACCCCCCAGGGGGGATGGTCACGCCATTCTCCTCTCGGGATCTTAGACACACACGCACATGCGCCTGGTGTGAGTTTAAGTCACCAGGTTTGGGACTTGAACCACGGTTGACTACGTGGGAGTCCAGTGACATAGCCATCGTGCTAACTGCTGGTCCCGACAAACATTTATTGAGTACCTAGTACCTGATGGACCTGTGGCCCATTAGGAGGTTGTAAAAGTCAGGAAGACCATGTTCCCATTTTTACTTTTTGGAGAGGTTTTTGCTATAGGGCACGTGCATTTGCCAGAAAGACAGAGAGGGACAGAGGGACAGAAAGCGAGAAATCACCCCCCAGGGGGGGGATGGCCATGCCGCAATCCCTTCTCCTCCATTCTCCTCTCGAGATCTTGGGCACACATGCACACGCGCCCGGCATGAGTTTAAGCCACCGGGTCCAGGACTTGAACCTCAGTCGACTACCTGGGAGTCCAGCGACATGCTGGGTGTCTGGGAATACAGTGAGGTTGAGCCCTTCCCTGGAGACCAGGCACTGGTGGCTCACTGCAGGCCGCAGCTGTAACAGTTAAGTGGCAGGTGATGATGGCCCACGGGCGTGAGGTCAGTTACTGTTTGACCTTTGGAGAAGCACTTTGCTGTGAGACTTAGTTTCCCCTGTGTACCATGGGGCTGTAGCAGGCCCCAGTGCAGAGGCTGTCATGATCCACGAGGGCGCATAGTGGCACCGCGCACCCTTTGTGTGGTATGCCGTGTGGAGGCTTGCTGTCCTTGGTAGTAAAACCCGGGCACTTGCAGGACTCAGGCGGTCTCAACCCCACTGTGGAACTCCTCTCTCCTGTTTATATATTGAGTTTTTCTTTTCTCACTTTTCTCCAGTGCACCCCAAACTGCGAAGGGAGACCCAGTACCCCACAGGGCAGGTGCCTGCCTTTTTTGTGCTGTTGGCCACAGAGGCTCTCATCCCAGCCCAGTGCCCCGGGACGTGTGCCGGTCCCCCCCGCCAGGGGCACAGCAGGAGGCAGCCTGTCAGCACAGTGTCCGGCTGGCGGGGACAGGCGCAGGAGCTGGCGCATCTGAGCGCAGGGGCGGGGCCGGCCCTGCTGCCCAGCTGTTGGTTGCATTTCTGCCTGAAACACAATCCTGGCTTTGGAGGCGCTGCCTGGGGCTGCGCGTGTGCATATCCGTGAGGTATACCTCAGCAGGGACAGACCCCTCCTGGGTCACCAAGGGCTGGTGAGCCTGCAGGGCCCACACCTCATGGGAGGAAACTGCCAGGGACAATGTGTTTCTTTCCCCTTCAAGGAGGCCATCTCCTTGGTACTTTGCAGAATTCAGGTGCCAGCATCTCCTGACCTAGGTTGGATGGGCCACTCCCACGGGAGCACCCCTAGATGAAGGCCACGTGTCTCACCCCTGGCTGTGTGCTAGAACCAGGGGCATGGTGAGGGTATCTAAGAAGTCCCCCTGCCTGGGCTCCACCCCAGACCAATCAAACCTGGGCTTCTGAAACCAGAAGTGAGCCAAGGTCTCGCCATGTGCGCCGTGGGAGCCGCGGTGCACCTTTGTCCTGACTAGGCCTCTGATCGGTCTTCTGTTAAAGACCGCTAAGAGGGGTGCCATAAGGATGCAGGGGCAGTAAAGGGGCCTGGCACCTGGATGCTTTGCCAAGTTGCGCTCGGGCGTGTATGTCATGTGACTGCAGGCCCAGGCACCAAGAGAGCCGTGTGAGGCCTGGAGCCCCTCAGTCGTTTCTATAGCCAGGCGAGTGGTATGAAGCCCTCATCCTTCAAGATCAGCAGACCCTTGTACTAGGAGTTCCCTTTGAGCTGCAGTGGTCTGGGAAGGCTTCCTGTAGGAGGTTACTGGTGGGTCTCTGACCCGTGGGTCCCTTTAGTTCCTGGCAGGGCACGTAATGTCTTAAGCATCCCGTCCCTACCGCCACATTGATGATGATGATGGTAAGCAGGATGCCCAATGCCACACGCCAGTGAGGTGTGATGGGCACCCCCACCCCCAGCCTGGTGCTTGCTGAATGGACGTCGTTGCATGGGTTCAGAGGCCGAAGAGTGAGCCTGGGCCTGTGGGCCCTCCGTCTGCCACACCCCAGCTTTTGACAGCCCCCCACCCTCAAGCTCCTGCCGACTACCAGTCCTAGCACGTGGGGGCAGGGGAAGACTGACTCAGTCTCCATGAGAGTGAAGGCAGCAGCCAGGCCCACCATGGCCTCTCTGGAAACGGGCTGGGCCAGTAGCCACTGGGCTGGTGAGCCCAAGGGGCAGGAGGGGTAGGAACTGAGCGAACTTGAGGAAAGGTTGGTGGGGGGGCGGGCTGGGCCAGCCGCTGGCGCTGGGACTTCTTGGGTTTCAAGTAAACAGTCTGGGCCTCCTCCCCCTCCCCTGCCTCCACCCCCAGCTCCTCATTCGATGGGTCTCATGTGTTTCTATTTAAGGGTTGCAAGTAAGCCCCAGTGATTGGCGGCCTCAAACCCTCTTGCCTCCTGCCTGGGCCTGGGCTCTGGAGAAGTCCTCTCCCGCTCTGCCTCTCCCGCCCCTGGAGGAGCAGGGCTGCCTTCTTTTCTCTGGTTTAAGGGGTTGGGGGTAGAGGCAGGAGCCTCCTCCTGGCCTTCCTTTCTCTCTCTCCCAGCTTTGGCCTCAGCCCTCATGGGCCGCCCACCCACTGGCTCGCGGCCCTCCCCTCACACCCCTGCCGGCCCAAGAGCCTGGAGAGACGGGGCCCCAGGCCTCTCGGCAGGCTCCTTCATGCCGGGCTGTGACTAACTCCTAGGGGCCCAGGGCTCTTTCCTGTCTCCTTGGCCTCTGTCTGTCTGCCTCTCTTCTCCCCTCCTCCTCCCCTGTCTCCTCCCAGGCCCCCTGGCTCCCCATGTCCCCTCGTCCCCGCGGTGCAGCGGGCCAGTGTGGGGCCTTGCTATATGGCCTGTCCTTGGGGCCTGGCGAGCTGCGAGCCCTGGCTGCAGGCAGCCCCTCGGAGCAGCGCTGGCGACGGAGCAGCCTCCCCCGAGGAGGCCGATGGACAGGGGGCGCCCCGGCCGCGGGGCCATGGCTGGCCGCTGGCTCACCGCCTGCTTTCTGCCCTCGCCAGGTGCCGACACCAACGCCGAGCCCATGATCCTGGAACAGTACGTGGTGGTGTCCAACTATAAGAAGCAGGAGAACTCAGAGCTGAGCCTCCAGGCCGGGGAGGTGGTGGATGTCATCGAGAAGAACGAAAGCGGTGAGTGCCCGGCCGGCCGGCTGTCCACTCGGGTTCGGCCCAGCTCCTGGCCGGGCTGGTTTTTGTTCCCTTCCTCCTCCCCCCACCTCTGCAGCTATCCGTGATTTCCATCGCAGGGAGAGGGCTGAGGAGGCTGAAGTTTCCCCCTGTTGGTTTGGGCTGCAGGCCAGCAGTTTGCCTGGTGGTGGAGGAATGTCTCTCCGACTGGGGTAATTAACCGGCTGTGTAACGTAGGCCAGGATGGCAGCCCTGCCCGGGGTCCCCGTGCCCTCCAGTGGCACTCTGTGCCACTCTGTGGCAGCTTCTCTTGTTGGGGCCATGTTTCAAGCCAGGGTCCAGGTAGGGGTGGGAGGACCCGGCCAACGGGGAGAGAAGGCAGGCCAGGGTGTCACCAGGGGGTGCAGCGTCTCCAGACTCTTGGCGCGTTGTTGGAGGAAAGGTTAGGCCTTTGAGAGTTGGCTGGTGTCTGGGTGGTGAGCTGATGGCCTCCCCGCAGAACCCGAGGCCACCCGGACCTCGGAGGAGGGATGAAGCCAGGTCCCAGGGTGCAGGTGGGTCCTGCAGCAGTCCCCCTGTCCTCGTGAGCTGACACGGGGCCCCACGGGGCCTCTGGTCCTAAGCTCTTGCAGTGGGCCTTGGTACCTTGGTGTCCTGGGCAGCAGGCGAAGAGAAGAGAGCCCCAGTCTGTCTGTCCAGAGGTGCCGGCCCTTTCGGCCCTTACAGGGCCAAGGATGGGACCTGAGCCCGGGACATCCCCAGCTGTTTGCCCGCAGCCTCCTGGAGCTCAAATCTGTTCCTGGCGTGTTTGTTTCAGTTTCGATTTGCTGTGGGGAAGGCCCCTGTGCATGGGAGCCTCCCTGGACTGCGCTTAGTGGACACTTCCAAGGGGGCGGGGCCTTTTCCTCTCCGCATCCCACCCTGCTCCCTCCCAGTATTTTGACTCCAAAAAGGAAGGCAGACCAAAAGGACCCCTGTGCCCGCTCTGCAGAGAGACGAACGGAGGCACAGAGACTGAGGGGGAATGTGTCTCCTGAGCAGGACTGTCAGGATCCTGGGCTCTTAATTCCGGTGCTTCTGGGTACCAAATAGCTATAGAGATGCTGAGGAAATCCCAGCAGGCCTCCTAGGAGAGGTGGGCTCATACTCCTGCCATAGTCAGCCCAGGAATGTGTTCTCTGCGAGCAGGGCTCTGCTGCAAGTGTTGGCCTGACTCGTTCCTTGGCCCTCCTGGGTCTGGGGGCCTCGCAGCCTATTCCCCTCTCTAAGCAGTCTACTCTGCCCTTGTGCCTGGAGTCACCCCCAAGGTGATTGGCAGCAACGGTCCCTGCCTGGCAGAGCCACGGCCCTGGTGTGAGGCCTTGACCTTTGCCCCGGGTGCCCACACTGCCAGCCCTCTTTCCACCCCTCCCTGGCATCGTCATGGGCCTGGCTCTGGAAACCTAAGCTCCTGAAAACCGAAGACAGGGATGTCTGCTAGTGGGATGGAGGATGCCGGGTCAGGGGCGGTTTTGGAGCCTGCACCAAGGAAAGCCCAGGGCCCATCTCTCTGTAGGAGGCCAGTTCTTTTCTGACGTTCTGGTTCGAGGACCCCGGCACAACAGGAGGCAGGGAGCTCTTTCTCTGGGGTCAGCATGGCTGGAGAGGAGACACTGAAGAGGAAGTCTGTCCTGCTGTGAGACCCCAGGGTTCCCAAGGGCACGTGTGCCCTCCCCCTTCCCAAGCCATCCCCAGGAACAACACCTGGACCTGACTAGGAGCAGGGGAGGGAGCCTTGAAAAGTGGGGGTGTGCGTTAGGCTTAGAGGTGTAGGGACCCCTGTTCCCCTGAGAAGCTTCCAGTGGATGTTTGAGGTGGCCTAGGCACCCTGACTCCCCGTAGCTTCAGTATGGCCTCTGTACAGTGGAGGTGACCCTGTGGCTGCTGGGAGGCAGGGACTGGGGCACTGTCCTTCCCAAATCCTCTCCCAAGTGTGAACTCCATGCCGGGTACCTCAGAAAGGCCCTGGGTGTCGGGAGAAAGCACCTCTCTGAAATCAGTTTCTCCCCTTCTCCGGTCTGTCCCGCCCTTGTAGAGGCAGGTGCTCAGGCACCGATGTTTGCGCAGGGACCTATGGGGCTGTGTCCGCCCACACGGACCCACCGACCCGGCACCCACCGTCAGGACCCGGGAGGCCTGGAGCGCACAGCCAGCCTAGCCAGGGAAGCCGAGTGGGTGGAGGGGAGAGAGGGAGAGGGCCAAGCAGGGTGAGCTCGCCGCTGCCTTTGGGAAGCTGGAGGTCTGACTTCGGGAGGGAGGCGTGTCACACATCCTGCAAGCCGGCTTGGGAAGGAGTGGTGAGTGAGGCTTTAAACTCGGAACAAAGACCCAATTGTGAAGCCTTTGACCTTAGGACATGGTGGGCGTTGAGGCATTTCCACTCACATTGTTAGGGCAGCAGCCCCAGTCAGTGCCATCCCCGCCTCCCTGGGCCTCGCCTCACCCGCTGGGGGGCCAGGACTCTGCCCCGGCCAGGACTCTGCGTCATTCCCCTCTAGCTGGGCTGGGCGTCCCTCAAGGAGTGTCCGTGGAGATGCAGCCCCCTCTGCGGCGGCTGCTCACCGGAGCCCTCTGGCTGGGACCACGGCCACCAAGTGATCCATCCGGAGGTGTGGGTGTGCCAGCACTCAGTGCTGTCTCTCGTCTAAAGGGAGACGGGTCTGGGGTGGTTCCGGCTCAGTAAATACCAGATGCCGGGCTGCGTACTCCCCAGACGTCTCCCAGCAGAAGCATGGAAAGACTCCAGTGTAGAAGGCACTTTACCCTCCATTCTCTGGCTGATGTAGCAGGTGAAGTGTTTTTCCTTATAGTCTGAGAACTCAGCTCGCTCCCCTTGACAGAGGCCTTGGCTGGGAAAGGATGGGCTGAGGCCGGTGGGAGTGGGTGGGAGCCTGAGCTGGCGAGGCTGAGAGACTCAGCTGGTGGAGGTGACTGCAGAGCTCCTGGCATCTTGCAGGAGATGTCCACATGGCCCTCTCTCCAGCATACTACTCACAAGTAGTAGGGATTCGTGTCGGTAATTGATCGGTTGGACGTGGGGCAGACAACTGCTGAGGGCCTCCGAAGAGAAGGATGCTTACCCAGTGCTAAAGATAACCTGTCCCAGGGAATGGGACCTGAGTGGTTTTAGGGAAAGGGGTTTTGATCAAGCAGTGGGCCTGGGGCCCAGCCAGAAAAGGACCCTACTGAT